AGAGCCAAAAACTTCCATCTGTACAGAGAGGTCTGTGTTTACGCCTCCTTCTGTGGGCTGCAGATCACTAGCTGGAGAAATTCTTGTAGGGCTTTTTTATGGCTTGATTAAGTCCTCAAACTACACACACAAACAAAACCAAAACAAAAATATGTGTGTAATTGCTAATACTTGCCAATAATGTAAGTTGCTAAATGGCTAATAGTCTTCAGATTGGGGCGAGGCCTTCCCTGGAACCTTCATCACTGAGGATAAGCTGTGAACATCCCCAAAGCAGGTTCACTGATTTCAGATACATTCTTAACTAGATTTCCATGGTCAGGATCTCATTTATGCCAAAACTCTTATTTGTGTCTGGACTTCTTGAAGATTCTTTTCAAAGCTTTGCTGTGGGTCCAGTGTGCTTGACCCTTGTTGCTCCCACAGAAAGAGTTTATTATGCTGGTATAACCTGTTAGCAGATGCTGAAGACTTATACTGTAGAAATGATGAACGGTAGTAAACTGAATATATATAGAATATGTAGAATATATACATATATATGTAGAATGAGTAGGACTTTATTAACAAATGGAAACATTTATTTAGCCATGGAACAGCTAGGTACAGTGTGAAGGATGTTTACCATTTAATTTGGTTTGTGGAGTTAACGCTGGACCAGATAATGAAGCAAAAGGTTGTTTTTCAGCAAAGCAAATTACAGCAGAATCCAGAAAGCCTTCACTGGAGCTGGATGGGATTTACGTACTAAGGAGAAGTGTCACTGAGAGGAAATGAAAACTGTTTGATGACAGATTAATGTGCACAAAAATGTAGTACATGCCATTCAGTCATAAATATTGGGAGGTTAAAGTGCCAATTGAAATTAACATGAATGTGGAAAAAGTAATCAAAACTAGGAAAGCATATGTAAATTATAAAACACCATTTGTAATAAAGGACTTAGAAATATTATATAGTATAATAAAAATGAGTGTGAAAATTCTGGGCACATAAAACCCAAAGAATAAAAGTCCTATTGTGGAGGATTTGAAAATAAATAATAAGGTAGGTCTCAATTACGTGAAGAATGAAATGACATCAGAAATGCCAGGCTGGGTTAGAGCAGTGGTCCATCAAGACCATACTGTATTTTTGCCTTTTTTCTTTCCTAATTGCCGCTTACAGCTCACTGTGATAATATTTAGTTCTGTATCCAGACAGGTAAAGGGGTTTTGTAAATCTTAAGGGAAATAACCAATAGCATGATTAAAGCTGTATTAATGTGAAAAGCTGTGCTCTTCTACTGATACAGGGATCGAATGGAACCAACTGCCCCCAGTCAGTATGGGTTCTTAATTCTTCCTGAATAATTCTATTTACCTGAATCATTTTCATATAAATTACTTTCAGAGTAACTACTCTGAAGCAGACTAAAACTGTAAGTGGTATGACAATGCCAGGGGTTTCATTTCAGAAACCCAGCTGTCCTGATATATCTTGAGGACTTCCATCTAGAGGCTAATCAGGCAAAAATAAATGTGTTAAAGTGCTACTATTTCTCTTTGACTGTTATTGAAATGTGTGCAGTTTTTTTTGTAACTGAGAAAACAGTTTGTACAGCTCAAGTCAGAGAAAACTTAAGCTCATTTTGAATTACTGACCTTCTAGCCATTTCCCAGAAAACAAAAAGATCATAATGCCCTGCTTTGAGACATTTCTTGGGGATGCAATGCCCAAAGGAATATAGTGGGTTTATTTTGCTTTTATGATAGTTTGACAAGCTTTGTTGCTTGAAATGGTCAGCTTCTTTGTAATAAAAATGGCTCCATTTTGTAAATAGGAATCTTGAGAGCTAACCAGAATATATTAAGATGATGCTTTTCCTTAACATGTTTTTCAGATCTGCAGCAGACATCCGTCTTCATCCTGCTGTTGCTGCTGTGATTCAATAAAATTATAAAGCATTTTGTTATGCAAACCTAAAATTTTACACCCCCTATGTTATAAATAAACAACTTTGAGCAGTATAGCTGAAAAAAACCAACTTTTTTCCTCTCTCTTTCTTGGTTTAATTAATGTATTGATTTAAAATTCTTCTTACTTGTTGGCATGAACTGTCTTTTTGAGAACACCTCCGGGGAGGAAGCAAAGAGGTCATGGTATCTGCTGCACTTTGTGAATTGAAAAGTACACAATTGTGAAACTGTGGAAGGTATTCCCTGAAGAATCTATTAAAAGGTTTCAAACATTTCTTTAAGCGAGTCCAGTGAATAGTTTCATCCTGTCTCCCTTTGTGTGCTGTTGCACACAACAAGTGTTTCTAAGAACCTAAAATAAAGCCTTTCAATCTCCACTTAAAGGAAAAGGTAATAAAATTTAATTGTGTACTTGGACACAGCGTATCATTTCCCATGCATCTGATCAATAATTCATTGATTGCCTTTTGCCTGAGGAAAGTTTTGTACATAGATTCAGTCAGTAGGAGTATCTCATAGCACAGCCTTGTCCTGTTTATTAATTATGCTTTTCCTGAATTTGGATCACTAGGCTACCAAGGTGACAGCAGATGGTGAGCAAACCAGGCAGGATGCTGAGAGGACTAATGACAGAGCGAAATCTGTTGGACAGTTCGTCAAGGGCATTCTCCAAGCTGCTGAAGGTATTGGAAAAAAAATAATACAGCAATTGTTTCTCCAGAAAACTGAAGGATGGTAGGGAAGAGGGCCTGAGAGACAGTGAGGAAGAGTTTATTCCCTGAGAAATCTCATGTACTTTAAATGCTGAGTGGAGAAATTACAGTCAGCTATCTTCAGACTTTTTTTAATGTATAGAGGCAGTTTATATAAACGGTGTGTTGGCAATTATAAACAAAGGATAGGATAGTATTGAGTATGTTTCTGCAGGATTTTTGCAGTTATTCGGAAAAAAGCTATTATGATGAAGTAACTAACAGGGCTTATCTTTTGTTTATTTTCAAAGCAGCTAAAAACATGTATTGGTTAAAAAACTATGAAATTTTAGCACTTGATACATTATCATTTCATATTAATTCCCCAGAATTACTTCAAAAATACATTCCTACTTGCTGTTAATGAACATCTGCTGCTTGGAATTTGCAAGTGTCTCCTAACCCTACCTTAGTAGTGGCATGGAACCAACTCTTTTTTCCACAAGCTGATTCACTTAGCTTAAAACTGCAGTAAAGACTTATGAGCAAAAGTATTGCAGATGGCTTTGAGAAGCAAGACCTATATATTACATGTAGATATTAAATTAGATAATGGCTGAAAAATATGAAAATTATTGTCAATCACAGGCAGGTTTTTAACTTGAAAAAATATTGATCTATTCTTTCTTCCGCAAAACTTCCACTAAAATACTAATTTCACTAGTTATGCTTCTGAAGGTCCATGTCATTGAAAGGGAAAGCTTTCACTTTTGTCCAGGTGCTATAAAATACATTTTATATTGCCTTTCGTGTAACACATCCCAGTACATGCCCTTTAGCTGAACTGAACAGCATTTTAGGATATCTGTAGGATGTGCCACGTTGACATGAAATAAATATGGGAAAAGCAACAACAAAAAAAAGTAAGCAAGTCTTCAAGAAGTTTTTTAAACAAAAGAAGAGGTTCTTCATATTTCAGGATGAATTTGGGATGTCAAGGTCTAAACCATTTTTTTCTAAAATAATGTTTTTTTCATTTTTCTCTAAACATAAAGTTTATGTGCAGTGCTTGTAACCCAAACAAAAGTTCCCTCCAGCAGGTTTAGCAATAGGAAATACAGAGTTAGAAGACATTGAGCAGGTGAAATAAATTTATGCAGTATCTTAGAAGTAGACAAAGAAGGCTAAAATCAATGTGTTTGCCTAGTGGCCAAGTTAACATTCTAAGAATAGATGAAATATCAGAGCACAGGACTGAAAGATATCTCCTGGGTTGCTTCATCTACTCCCCTGCTATCATAAACTTTCTAACCTTCATTCCCAGAGTAGTTCTCACAAATACACAATCTGAATAGGAGACAGTTTTACAACTCTGCATAACCACAAGCCTCATTTCTAGCTAAAAATACTCATGTTTAGTTTATCATCATGTCTTCTTTTGCCAACCGTGTTCTTTAGTTCAGATAGGTTTTTTTGTTTGTTTTTTTTTTCCTCTCACTAGTGCTTCTCCTCCTTCCCTCATCCCCAACTATATTCATAGGGAGGAATCATATTCCCCTTCAGTCCCTTTTTTCTAGACTAAAACACCATAAGGTGATTCTCCCAAATCTTCTGCTCACCTTCATGTGATTTCTCTTCTTCTGTTCATCTTTCATGAGCAGAGATAACAAGCATTGGAATGAGGTTGCTTCAGTGTCAAAACCTGCCTATGTCAGCTCTCTGAATACATTCTGGGATAGTATTTCCTTTATTTCATACTGGGGTGCCATTGGAGATTCAGAGTATAGTTATGTTCTTCTCACTCCTGCCTTACATCTAACTGGCAAAACCATGGTCTACATTTGAAATTTCTGTTGTTATTTAGTGTACCACCTTATATTTTCTATTATTGACTCTCATTCCGGTCCAATTACTTCAGTTTTGAAGGTCACCCAGTTCTTTCTGCATAGCGTTCCAATCCTTCTCTTTTAGATTGTCTTACAACTTTCCTTCATAAACATATTTTCTCAGTAGACTACCTCTCATTCCTTTGTTCAAAACAGGCACTACATTGCTTGTTCTCAGTGAAGTGATCTTCTTCCAGGTTTTGCAGTGTCATGCACCAGATCTTTCAAGTTTCTAGAATGGCAGTTCTCTGGCTATTCCAGTTTGAGTTCTTCAAAATTTTCTTCCTCTGGTTGTAAGAGTTTCTATATGCTTAGTTCTGATTTCCATCTTCAACTGTCTTCCTGTTAAAGGTCACCATTTTTCATAAACTGAGGATAAACATTCCATCTTATGCTGAAGCCATTCCTAGATTATTTTAAAATTTGACACCATTTTAACTGCGTATGGGCCCTGTACCTACTTTGTCTCTGCTCTTTTTGACCTATGAGACATCGCTACATTGTTCCTTGAGTATTGTATGTCCACTCATGCTGTTTGACTGATGTGACCAAATAGTTTGCTGGTGTTCTTTATGTCATAGAATCATAGAACCATAGAATGGTTTGGGTTGGAAGGGACCTTAAAGATCATCTAGTTCCAACCCCCCTGCCATGGGCAGGGACACCTTCCACTAGACCAGGTTGCTCAAAGCCTCATCCAGCCTGGCCTTGAACACTTCCAGGGATGGGGCATCCACAGCTTCCCTGGGCAACCTGTTCCAGTGCCTCACCACCCTCTCCGTGAAGAATTTCTTCTTGATATCCAATCTAAACCTTCCTGCTTTCAATTTAAACCTGTTCCCCCTTGTCCTGTCACTACAGGTCCTTTTAAAAGGTCCCCCCTCAGCTTCCTTGTAGCCCCTTCAGGTACTGGAAGGCTGCAATAAGGTCTCCCCAGAGCCTTCTCTTCTCCAGGCTGAACAAGCCCAACTCTCTCAGCCTGTCCCCATAGCAGAGGTGCTCCAGCCCTCTGAGCCTCTTCACGGCCTCCTCTGGACTCACTTCAACCAGTCAATATCCTTCTGATGTTGAGGGCCCCAGAGCTGAACACAGTACTGCTGGTTGGGGTCTCACAAGAGCAAAGTAGAGAGGGAGAATCACGTCCCTCGACCTGCTGGCCACACTTCTCCTGATACAGCTCAGGATATGTCCATTCCTATTCCGCCATCTCTAGAATACTGATTTCTGAAAGTTACAGTACTTGTGATCTCTAGGAAGCAGGCCTGTGTCTGTGACCCTGATCTCCCTAGTACTTGTTGCCAGGAGGGCACAACTTCAGGTTGAGATGCCATGAAAGGACTTAATTCTTTCATTGACTCCAGGTAATGCTTGAGAATGGTAGTGCTCAGAAGTATATGATTGTAGATCTGAAAAATGCCTCCCTAAATGTTGAGGAATCAAGGAATTCTTCAAGTCATAAAATCTTACTACAAGTGAGAAGTTTGTAGTGATTCGTTGAAACAACCATACTCCAACCATTGATCCATTCCTACTGAACTGATTACTGACCTTCTGAACTTCTGAGTACCTCTGACTAGTTTTTCCTCTTAACTGTGGAATTGCCCCAGCTTTGCACTTCCTTGTGTTCTTCTATGTCAGTGCATCCAGATCTTTTACTACCACTGGACTTTGATAGTTTGCAATATACTAAGAGTAGAAAGTAAAGATTGTTGTGAGGAGGATGAAGGAGAAAGACAAAGCTAGATATAAATTTTCCTGAACCTAATACAATGTGAGATAGCATATCCATTTTCTTTTTTGATGTAAATATTCAGAGGTTAAATTACTATTTATTTATTCCAGATTTAAAATATATATATATGCTTATTCCTAGCCTGAGGGAACTTAGTAATAACGCATAACATAGTGCACAGAAGTGAACCATGATCCATTTAAGCAAGATGTGGTTTGTTTTCTAGTCCTCACTACCTGTGCTGGTTTTAGCTGGGGTTAAACCACCACACTACTCCATGCATAACCACTCTTCATTAAAGATCCAAATCTTTATTCTCACCAGCAAATCGAAGATATCATTGGATTAGAATTTTCTTCATAACTTGCTTTAGCCTACACAATGTGTAGATGAAATAGTCATTTATATAAATGTTAGAAGACTTTTTTTTAAATTAAAGATTTAATTTAAAATATTCAAAAGTACCCATGAGACCAGGAACTGTGCTATTTTGGAGAAGTCAGTTACTTGGGAGCCCGGTGCCTATGGAAAGGCAGCAGTACTTTTTAAAACTGAAGATGGAACTGATTGTCCTAAATGACCTAGTTGCTTCTGAAAGTGTATATACTAATATGTTGTGGTGTGCTATGGCAGAAAGATTTCAGGCAGTCCTTGAATCTGATACCATGCGTACACCTTTATCAGGAATATTTTGGCTATTCCAAACGTACAATACACTTACAGTGTACCGTCATGTATTCCAACCTTCATACCCCTCTTTTCCATTTTTGGGTATCTGCTTTTGAACACATGAGGGGGTTTAACAATCTGTGGGTGTCTTTCACTCCTCTCTCCTTTTTCCAAAATTTCTCAATCATTTGTTCTTTCTACCACTGTTAAGTTTGAATGCCAAAAATTACGTATTTTGAAGTTCTCCAAAAGTAATTTAAATCTAATTTTCATTGCTTGTACTGCCTACTTCTTAATTCTGGGAGCAGTATTCCAGATTATTGTATGCTGTTTTGAAGGTTCAGTGCCAATTCTTTCTTTCAGGGGTGGAGGAGGGGAGCGATATATTTCTTATACTGAAATATAAAGACTTCATCACTTTAATTATTGTGCTTAAAAGTGAGCTATCATAAAAGGTTGATGAAACCTATAACATTTTCTCATTTGTTACTGATCATTGGATTCACTGTTCTTTATATTTCACAGTAGGAATAACCATTGCAAGTTGCATTCAACTTGCCAGTAGAGTTGACGGGCAGATGCTTAAAGCCTCTGTGTTGTTTTATTTGCTAACTCCCTACATAAATATTTTTGCCCCCCCTGCAGCTGCAAAGGAAGATGCTATAAAACTGAATGAGACACTCAGAACCCAAGATGAGACCTTGCAAAAGAGTCTTCCAGAACTGCAGAGGGAGGCTGACAGAATGATTGCAGAGTTGAGAAGCAGAGACCTGAATATGCAAGAAAGAATAGCTCAAGATGAGTTAAAGTGAGTAAAGGACCTAATATGTCTCATATAATTGATTGTCATCTTTTCCAACTAAGTTTTCAAACTGAGCCTTACAGAAATGGGAAGGAAAGCAAATCTAATACTTCATATCTGTTAATGTAGCATTTGCATTTTTAGAAATGCTTACGTATGTGGAAAGCAATCTCTATGAAATTATTTCTCTGCGCCATAGGTAACACCAACATTTCTAATTGAATTCTAAGACATATTTTTTCAGTGTGTTATTAGCTTCTGCTTCAGACCTGATAAATGGCTTTTTACTAAAAAGCTTGTCTAGAAGTTTGGGTTTTTTTCTGGAAAACTAATTCGTCTAATCTGTCTGCAATATTTGTCCAGTAGCATGGACATTCCAAAGGATGTATTTTGCCATATATAGAATAGTGTAGATCAGAATACTCCAATTCTGTGGCACAGTTCATAGCCCAGGGTTTGGTTATTCAGCTATCTGTAAAAATAAAAAATATGTATGTGTATACACTTATATTGTCAGCGCTTTATAAAGCATTTTGCAAAATGTTGAAAAATACTTGGCTTAAAATGGTGGTAGTCTGTTACTTTTGTATCAGTCAGACCAGGCATATTCCTACAGTTAGGCTTTGCTTCAGCAGGGCAAACAACCGGTAAACCAGCTGAGTAGCTACATAGTCCATTGAAGTTGTGATGGCTCAGAAAACTGCCTGGGATAGAGCTATTCAGGACTGAAAATGCCAGTTATCAGGGGCATGCTTACTGTAAGGAGACATAAATAAAATACAGGATTAGCTAAGAATTCCAGGCAGTATAGAATCAGATTTGCACTGCTTATCTTACACTTTATAAACCAGATAATTTTCTGAAAATCCTACCAGCACCAGGTTCTTCCCATAATTCTGATGGTTCCACTTTCTGTTCTGTTGAGAAAGGACATATTGCAAACTTATTTTTGAGCAACGTTTTATTGTTTTTTCTTCTGATTCTACTGAGTCTCTTGTATCCCCGCTATCCCATCTCCACTCATACATAAAAATAAACCAGAAAAAAGTAGGGGTGTGAAAGATGTAGCCAAACCTTTGAAAGTGCTTCCTCCCGTTGCAGGGCAGACTGCAGGGAGGCCTTTCAAACAAGGTGTTCTTAGTCCTATGCTGGCTACATCCAACACAAAACTGTCAGACAGCATGAAATCATTTCCTGCTCCAGTCCAATAGCTAGAGTAGGAAATGCAGTAGGGCTTTTTGAGGGAAAGAACTTCTCTCCCTCTTTCTTCCTGAAATGGGCAAAGTGAGTATTTTCATTTCCTGGTGATGAAATACATATTAACGTATTTCTCAGTATAATATACTCACTGATTTCAATCGAAGTCTATCTTAAGAGTAGGATTATCTCTTTATAGGCAATGATTGAAATCCAAGAAATTTTGGCAGCGAACTAAGCAGGATTACAGGGTGGGGAGGAAAGGTCCCTAGATAATGTTTTCTGAATCTCTTTCATAAAGTACTGCCTCTTAAAGAAACATGTCTTAAAAGTGCATAAATAATGTAGTAAGATACAATACGTGGATAGAATATGTTGTGCAGGCAAAAAGGATGAAGAAAAATAATCATTCTTAAAACTCTGTGTGTGTGTATGCATGTTTGTGGATCACTCTGGTCACATGTATTCTTACAGACTCAGAAACATTTACTTCTGAATAGCTGTGCAAGTCTGATGATCACTCTGAAGTAGTTAATCGTGTTTACTCTTTGGTGAGGTGTCTTTTGGCAGTGATTGTGTTCTGCTTTCGGCATTTCACCCAAGAACAGAATGGCAAGAATCAGTGGATTTTTCTTACCTCTTCTGTGTTTTTAGTGAATTCTCAAAAGTTAAATGAAGACAAATTAAATAATGTCGTCTTGCTTTCATAGATGGAAAAACTTCTCTTACATGTGCAGCTTTTTCCCTCGTTTTCCTTCAAACTTTTCAAATCAAATCTGTAATCTGATTGCCTTGGTGTACTGAAATGGCACATTAGACAGTAATTTCTCTCTGAAAAAGAGCGTTTTAAGAATACACCAGTTTCTGTCCTGAACTGCCTTGATTTTCATACTAATGAAATAAATCTTTCAATATTTTATAATGTTCCTACACATTTTCTCGGATGCCACTGAATTGCTATCACAGGATGCTGCGAGCTGGAATTCCATCATTCTATTTAGTATGCTGAATAGCTTTACTTCTGTGTGATTTTTTCTTCCATACATTTGCCTGATGCCTTTGGAGCCCCTGTGAATTTCTATCCTCCAGTTTCCTGTAAGAATGAATTGCATAACACAGCCCACACAGTTTAAAGAGATGCCTCCTGTGTTTTGACATCGCTTCCTGGTATTTTTGGGTTTGTATTTGAAGAGACATTGGACAGTTGATCACCTTATCCATGCTACTCATGATTGTTATAGTCCTCATTTCTTCTTCAGGCAGGACAAGTCTACCATATTTATACTCTCACACATATACAGGTTTTGGGTTTTTTTAAATCATTGTGTCATTAGTTTCTAATCTTTTTTTGTTCCTTGTACTCATTTTGAGGATCCAGACCATACAGCAGTCCAGGTGTTAGGCCAGACCTGTGATTTTTCTCTTCTAACACTTCAAGCATTTTGTGTAGTCTTGTTCTTTTTCTAGGAAGATATCCAGTGAAAATAGCACAGCTTAATTTTACAAGATAGTATTTCAAGAAATGTGGTGCAGTCCAGTCACACAGAAATTCTGGTACCTAAAGCAAGGGATTACCTGAAGCAGATTTAGATTTATTGTTTTGTACTTCATTAGGAAGAACAGAAGGGAAATACAGAACAGGTCGATACGGAAGTGTTAGCTTTATAGCACCAATAGGAGTTTTGACGTAGGCTACTGGGCCGACAGGTAGTTTGGACTGTGCTGTGAGGCAGAGGCATTAAAATGAAATACATCTGTCATGTACTGTTCCTCTAGTACTGCACAGTCATAATGTTGTCAAAACTTGCCAGAAGTGTAAGACAGTAGCTACTTGTACAAAGAACATTGGAAGGAAGTATGGGAGAAATTCTGAATTCCTTTCTATAGTTCTTCTGTGACAGGGTGTCAATACTGGAGTTTAATTTTTGATTAAATATTTTGTCCTCAGAAGTTGCAAATTCACAACATGAGTAATTTTTTTTTCATCAAAACCGAAGGCAGGGCAGATGGGGAAAAGAAATCCACCTCAGAAATTCCCAAAGCTAAAGTAACAATTTGGCTTTCCATGGCTCCCGTTCAGGTCCTTCATCTAAATTATGCCCAGTGGCAGCATATCCTTTCCACTCCTCAGCTATTTTTTGTGTGTGCATTTATTTATGTGTTTAATTTTAGAAGATTTTTAATATTACTGACTATAGGCAGGCCAAACTGTAGTGTTTTTCTGAAAATACCGTTCTTCTTTTCCACACAACTTCTTCAGACAAACTGCCATAATGAGACAGGAAGAAATACTTAACCTATTCCAAGTAGAAGTGTGATAGATTTCTTAGCTATTATCTATCCTACAGTTTCCTGTTTACTTAAGGTTTTTCTTTATCTCTAAAGCATCATTTTGAAAGTGCCTCTTTTTTTGTTGTCTTTTTTTTTTTTGCTTTCCTTGTCATTTCACTGGTTATCTGTTTGACAAGTTGAAATGTTTCAGAAGACCTTGCTTTACTAGTCAGATTTCAAGAATCGCAACTACACTGAAGACAGGGGAGAATATTTGAATATTTTCTATTTCATAAATAGGACTTTAGTGGCATTTAAAAATCTCTTTAAGAAAGGGCTTATAAAAAACTGTTGTTTCACTTTATAAAGCATGTGTTCCCTTGAAAATACTTTGAGATTTAATTTGGAAGTCTATTTCATTTGC